GAACTCAAATACAAAAGCTGATTGTAAACTCCAACAATATAGATTATATATTTAAATAGATAGATAGATATGTAAACAAGCAAACCAAACAACTTAAACCAAACAAAAACAAGCTTTAAACCCTTGTTTACAAACTTGTTTAAAACTTCTTTAAAAACTTCTTGGCTTACATGGAGAGATCAGCAAAGGGGTATTATTCCACTACTAAAGATCAACAACATCCAAGTCAAAGACCAAAAACCATCTTCAACGGGCTCTAAAAAGAGCCCGTTGGAGAGAAAACTCCAGCGGTCGACGAAATAAAAGATAACGGTCGACCGGAAACAAGGTCCAGAGTCGCAGGAGACGTCCAGAGAGGTCTTCGGAGAATACAGGTACACACAACAAAGTTATTCGGTCGACACGAAACAGAAATTTCGGTCGACCCGGTCTGAAGATTTCCGTTTATCGGATTAAAATTAGTAAAACATCTCCAAAAATTATGAAATTTTGAGGAAAGGTCTAGACATGTAATAACTATAGAATTCTGATAATTTATCCAGTTGAGAGAAATAAACGAAAGTTTCTGCTGCTGTGTACACGATTTGGTAAATCAATTGGCGATCAACTCCAAAAATAGTAAAATTTTGTGAGAAGTTTCTAAATATGTAGATAAACATGTCAGAGAAAGAAATTTTCAAATATCACTTCTCATTGGTGAAAACTCATCAGTTTTGTAAAACATGCACGAACATGTGCACGAACGAAAACGTGAATTTGTAAATTCCTTTAAACATAACAAATCAATTCCAAACTTGATGAAACTTTGAGAAATGTTTGAAAATGATATTTTGAACATGTTACAAAAAGAATTTTCCAATTTGCATTTCCCAATTATGAAATCTCATTATTTTGCAAAAGTGTTCAAAACATAAAAACCCAAAACCATGCATGTATATATATAACTATATATATACATAAAAACCAAATACGTGTGTGTATATGATATTGAGCTTAAGGTACTTAACACACATAATATAAAACCTAAACTAGATTACCCAAGCCGATCTTGATGTTTAATAAGCTTGACTTGGTACACTTTGCGGATGAAGCTTGAACTTGATCTTTAACTTGAATTGTATGTTGCTTCACTCCACAATTCCGCCAACCTCCATTTGATATCGTCGTTATGGCGCAATCCATCCATCCTCCAACTACGTTGTTTGTCTACAAAACATAGGAATGCACAAACACTACACAAACAACATTAGTAATAAATTGTTTGTTAAACATCATCAAAACAAGAAGGCCAACAATGTCTTTTCAGCACGTTTTGTCCTCACTCACGCGCTCCCTAGAAAACTTCCCAGGGGGTCACCAATCCTAGAATTTCTCCAGGCTAAGCACGCTTAACTTTGGAGTTTCTAAGAGTTGGGTTCCCGAAAAAAATATGCATCTTGGTGGTATGAGTATTTCAATCAAATCTATCAATACTAATCACATCACCCTCTCAAGGGTTGGGGTATTACATACTCCCCCACTTAAACTCACAACGTCCTCGTTGTGCCAAATCATATCATCCAAGACCGTACCATCCGTGTGAGATTCTAGAGGTGGCTCCTACGGCCTCAAGAGGTGGCTCCCGCCCTCTCGACGTAGCACTTTGCGCCGCATAGCACTTAGCTCTCACAATTCCGGTTGGCTTTGCTCTGATACCATTTGTGACGCCCCTGGGTTCACACAAGGCTGCAGTCTAAGGTGAAACCAAGAATGTCAAACCTGCCATGCACCATACCGTGTAATAACATTTTTCACCATCACAATTAATATCTATCTAGTAGAATCAACAACAGGTGTAGGTACAAAAGCAAGTGAAAGATAACAGAAGAAATACTGATGAAATGAAATCACATAAATATCTCATCATCCAACATATAGAAATACATAGTCAATATCTGAATTGATAACTAGAATACTCAATAAGTCTCAAATACAAATGTCTGACAAGAGAAAATAAGGCACACAGCCTTTACAACTTCTAGAACAAGACTCTCAAATGTCTACACAAAAGAAAATCTAAAGTGGAGCCCCAAATAAAACATATAACTAACTAGACAGCTGAAGCTAAAATGCACCGCCATCAACCTGCTACCTGAAAGGGGGAGGGATAACGAGCGTCAAAGCGCTAGCGAGTAACATCACAACCAACCCCAAGGGAACAGGGCTCGTTGTATAAGAAAATACAGATAATATATAATAGATCTAAACTCATTGATCTTACTAAAGAGGGTTTTAGTGGTTAGAAATTTACAACACGAGAATAGGTACGTCGAGCGAAATAATCCAAACAAGGAAACCCTCATGTATATACCTTATATCTCAAATTGTAAACCCCTAATCACCAAACCCGAGGTTCTAGTACAGGAACAATAATAAAAGAAATACAAGTACTCTCAGAACATAAGTGCAGTGCCATATCATAGCCCACATGAATATCATGTTAAAATTTACATAAGTGTCATGTCAAAATCTACATAACTATCATGTCGTGATCTTCTGTGAGGAAGTCAGATTCAGGGTTAAGAACTAGGTCCGAAACAGGAACTATATATGGTAGTTTCCAAACTCATGGAATAAGTGGCAAATGTCCAACACGAGGACTGAAATGGATTATAATCCAACACGAGGACTTCTATGGATTATAGTCCAACACGAGGACTGTGAAAAGGTGAAAAATATCACTGTGACATATACTGAAATCTACTTATATAAATCCCCCACTCAAATCAGTGTGTAAGTCCCCAATTTGTACCCTCGGTCGTCTATCGTGCCTGGGTACATAGTAAGACTAAAAACCAAGGTCAGATAATCCAATCAAACACTCGAACATGAGTAAAATACTCAAAAATGCACAAAACAGAAATTTGCAGCAGACAGTGCGGCGGTCGACCGACTCGGTCGACCGCACTCTGATACGAGCCTGGCGGTCGACCGCTAGGCATTTCGGTCGACCGGAAGAACTCGACCGCCACGGTCGACCACGCAGAGGGCAGACGCTGCTCTGCCCTTGCTGCGCGCCCTGCGGTCGACCGATGCGGTCGACCGCGAGGCAGACAGAACCCAGATCTGGGTTTTCTGTCAACTTCGAAACCTGTCAATCTTTCTCTCTTGAGTTAAGCAGCAAAATAGCATATTAAAAATGTCATTTAACAGATAAATAAAGAAAGCTTACACATTTAGAAATCATTACCAAGATCCCAAACATGATTAAACATGATCTATGTATAGTTAACAATAAAAACAGGAATTTTCTCCTTTTAAAACGTATTCAGATCTATACCTCCATAATAAAATTCATTGGTGAGCTTTTAAAATAAGGAAAAACCTGAATCTCATATTATGAGCAATAATGATCTATTAGCTATTCAAAAATACGATTTTGGCTCAATAAAACCACATAAAACTCAAGTTTTGACATGAAAACAAAAGGGGGAGGAGTTGGGCCAGAAGTTACTCGCCTCTGGTGAGAAGATGAATCCCTAGATCTGCAGGAGGTTGATCCCCTTCGCTGAAATCCCACAAACCCGCTGAAAATCCTCAAGAACTCCTCCCAATCACCAAGCAAAGAGAGTTAGGGTTTTAGGGAAGAGAGGGGGGCTAGGGTTTTGATTTTAGATCAGAAAATGGGTTTCTCTCGGGTTATTAGCCTATATACCAAACCACAAACCCGACCCGAAACCCGTTTGAACCCAACCTGAGAAAACCCTCAGACCGCTGTGCGGTCGACCGACGCGGTCGACCGCTGCGATCGACCGCGCAGCAGAAAAATGCCTGCTGCTGCTAGGCATATACTATGCTGGTTATTTACTCGATTTCTCTCACATAGAAACACTTGA